GACTCCTTGTTGTTTTTGTGGATACAGACTAACACGGCTACCCCCTGATACTATTCATCATTCAAGAACCTTTAAGATTGTTATTTAGCATTAGCTGCAATTTAGCAGGCATCCCAGTAACAGAAAAAAGTGTTGGTCAATGGCAGAAACTTTTATTAAGTAGCCTCACAAAGTAGCCTGTATCATATCTAATGGAGTATTTTAGGGTTTGTCTACAAGGGGCACTCAGGAAAATTAATCCAAATTAACTAAAAGTGTGAATTTAAAAGTCAATTAGTTAAATCTGTATGGAAGGTCTCATTCAGAATTAAAGTGGCCTTAAATCAGTTTAGTTTAAATTAGTGAATTAAACTAAACTGAATTAAGGCCACTTTAATTCTAAATGAGAATATCCACATAGGGGTTTAATGCAGTTTAACTAATTCACTTTTAATTCTCATTTTTAGTTAATCTGGATTAACTATAGAAAAGCCCTTAGTTATGAATGAATACTGACTATAGGGTTAGAAATGCCACAAAGTTTCACTATTCCCACCATTTATAGAGCACAGTAAGTATGTCTTTTACCTGTGTTTTAAGTGCTAATGTCTCTGCTCCATTTATATACCAAACTGAAATTTATATCTAGAATAGATAATTTTTAAGAGCAAATCCCAAATTACCTCTTTTAACATCCATTAAATACGTAAGGATTTAAGAAAATAATTTCAGTAATTAAAAATTAAGATATTAAATATCCTGATTTAAATCAGTTTAAATAATTATTATTATATAGGAGATGGGGGAAAAAAAACCAATTGGTGATAGGTATAAGTATCAGCTGGTTGTAACAGATACATTGAAAAAGGAGGTTATGAGGCTATGTCAATTTAAAAACTCCTGGACATTTTGGGGTTGCAAAAAACTTAGCCAAGCTAAGAGAAAAACTGTACTGGGTAAAATGAAAGCAGGATGTAGAAAACCGGTGCAGGAAATGTGATGCTTGCATTGCAAAGACTGGGCGAGCTCTTGTGCAGCAGTGTTTTGTGGAGGCACCAATAGAGTGCCTTGCTGTTGATATGCTGGGCCTTTGCCAGAGACAGGGGCTGTCAATGACTCTGTAGCAACTGTACTTTTAAAAGCTGAATACAGAATTATGACTAGGAATGAGTACACATATGAACCCTCTAGAGTTAGGATGAAATGCAAAGACCTTAGTTCTGATAGCTATAGAAACAGCTACAAAATCCTAGGACTATCAAATATATAACCGAAATTGAGCTGCCCATGTATGAAGCGTTAACTCCTGTAGCAACGAAACTGCTTCATTACTATCCCCCACAAACCTAAACTGCTACAAAAACCCTCATTGAAACCAGAGAGAAATAAGCCCAACACCAAGAATAAAAGGGGTTTCTACATGCTGAAAAATGGTACAAAATGTCAAAAACTGCTATTTACAAAAGGAAGCATGTCATGCTTAAGAATCAGTAACAGTAACTTTATTATAAGCAGTTGGACCCACCAAAACTAAGTATTGCTGCCTATGTACAACAAAAGATGTTGAGCAAATTCAGGCTATGGTTTCGTGCCCTGAAATAAGTTAAGGAAATAGATTTGGACTGTGACATTATTATGTGATACAAATGTACACAGTATAATTGCATAAAATCTATTCACATGAACAGAACTTTCCTTGGGTTCCTTACTTTCAAAGGGAAGGAAAAACATCTACTGTGAATATTGAAAAACTCTAACCTGTTACCTGGTAAAACAACTGTAGGTTGCCCCCTCCCCAAACAATCAGATTTAGCAGTGTATCTAGACATTCTGTACACTAATTTCTGAAACAAATCACTGATCAGCACAATATCAGAATGAATCTAGGCTCAGATTTCATAAAAAAAATAATTTTCAAGCTCATTTGGCAGTTAGTTTGAAATATGATGTTAATGTTTTTTTTCCACAGTTGGCTTCCTCCTTTAAGGCACAAGGGCTTGTTTAACACTCTCTGGAACACGACTGGCATAGTAGTCAAAGTTTCTCAACGTGGCAAGGACCCCTGCTGAATTCATGTGTTTCACCTCCTTGTTATAATGAAGAGGATTTCCATGGATATCAGTCAGCTTGCCTGCAAGAAATATAGGACTGTGTTATTGGTCCCAATTCATTTAAGCACAGCACCTGAATTTTTGCTGAAACAGAACACCTACTGGTTCTCTCTTCCTTTGAATCATAGTTGTTGCAGATAGATGTAGAAGATCATGTCTTTTATACTTGCAATGGCAAGATACAATCTCCGGATACGGTATTAAACCAATACTATACTTGATATTAGTGTCTAGAAGAAACCTCTTACACATTAAGATGGACAGCAGAAAAGGTCAAACAACAACACTGATCTAAAGTTAATTCATATTTATTCAATCAAGCCTTTTTATAACTTATATTTTCACCAAGGCAGAGTGGTTTTGTGCTGTTTGGAGGGTAGTGATTTTACTGGGTTACCCACTGGATTGATTCAAATTTGGAGCCAAATCCAGCAGCTGCGAGCAACCATGACTACAGGATTTGGCTAACTGTTTTGTTGTTTTTGAAGAATTATAAGATGCCCTCCATACACACAGTGAGCATATAAAGACAATAAATGAATGATTTCAGTAATTGGGAAAAGACCACATTGTATAGGAAAACAATAAAGCAGCAGAAGAAGCTGTCGGCTGGAAAATAGTAATAGTAAAACCGATACGTTTTAAAAAGAATGTTTTTTGTATAACCTCAAAATTAGTAACTGTACTGGGTCTTGAATAAAAGCAGACAAGGTAAATTATACTGCCTTCTACTGGCAAAACCAGGGCCTGATCCAAAGCCCTCTGCAGTCAATGGGAGTCGTTCCAGTGATTTCAAAGGGCTTTGGATCAGGTCTTTAGTGCTTTGTTTTTAAATATATGCACAGGCTTTTAGGTCAAGAAGTTATCTGCCAAAAATGTGTGTAATGGAACTCACCTTGGTCCTATGAAGAGATATCTTATGATTTACCTTGTGCACAAACATTAGAAAAATGTACTGTAACTTCAACTTCTCTCAAAAAAGAGTTACGAACATTATTGTTAACTCACCTCCCACAGCATGTAAAATAGCCTCGGGAGCACATGTATCCCACTTCTTGCACCCGGGACTAGCAAACACATAAGCAGAAGCCTTGCCTTCTATCAGTTGAATGATCTATTACAGATGAAGAATGACAGTCATTTCATATGACCCCCAGGCATGCAAAAGATAGAACAGGAATTCAATGGGAGTAGAATTGGGTCAGTTTGGTACTGCACACACTCTGATGTCCTCACCAGAAAGAGGAGTCTCAAAGGCTCCTCTTCAGGTTTTAAAAATTTAATAATCTTAAAAGTCTAGAAAAAAACATAGCTGTTACCATCCAAAGTGATCTATTTTTCATTGTCTCAAATATAATCTATAGGAAGCAAATCTAGTCCTTGGCATCCAACTCATGTATCTTGGCTGGGTGCTGGGGAGATCTACCTGGGAGAATGGAGAGGAAACCATCCTCACATGCCTATAAGGCCTTTCTAGCCCTATTGCACACTTTCATATGGGTTGGGTAAGAGGACCAGAGGTTTCAGGTGGTTACAGATATTCCATCCTTTCCTTCTCCCCCAAACAAACCCTGCATGTTGCTGGGCAAGGAGCCGCAAGAGCACTGATTCCACACTATGAAGCCGGGGAGCATTCCCTATTTCCACCAAATCCTGCCTCCCCTCTTCGGCCACCAGTTCACTGCCCAGGGTCGCTTTGACCCATTGAGATAAGGATGGCATTTGGCCCTAAATTCTTTGCTCTCTTTACAAAGATGTTATATCTTACCACTAGCAAAGAAAAATATTGGATTGTCATACCTTATTTCCTGCACCTCCGACTCTCACCACATTATCAGGGTTCATTGCACTAATGCAGTCATTTACCAGCTTACTGCTGTGTGAACGGGTAGTAGTGATGATGTGTTTCCCAGCTGGCACTTCTTTCAACTGAAATCCAAAGGCACCCAAACCTAGGACACCCCAGATTGTCCTACCCAGCATGGCATCTGCTCCTGCCTACACAGAAGATGCAAAAACCAAGGCTTACCGTTACCACAACATATAACACTTATTTAAAAAAAATGAACACAAAGGCATAGCTGGAGACTTTTTATTTCATTATTAGATTCATTTTAGAGGGTAAAAGTGTAAAAGAAAAGAAGTGAGTTCTAGTAACTGAAGCACAGGGCAGGAAGCCAGGACTCCCGGGTTCTATTCCCAGCTAACTGAATGACATATTGTGTGACCTTGGGCAAGTTA